AGCGAAATTCCTTCCTGCCCACTCAGCCCTGCCAGGGCTGGGCTTCCTCTTCCTCAGCCTGTGCCAGCCCCGGAGCGCTGGGATCGGCCCTTCCTGGGGAGTGCCGGCCGGGAATGCACACCGGGAATGCCCGCTGGGAATGCCCACTGGGAATGCCCACTGGGAGTGCCCGCTGGGAGTGCCCACTGGGAGTGCCCGCTGGGAATGTACACCAGGAATGCCCACCGGGAGTGCACACTGGGAATACCCACCAGGAATACCCATCGGGAATGCCCACCGGGAATGCCCACCGGGAGTGCCCACTGGGAATGCCCGCCTGGGAATGCCCGCTGGGAATGTACACCAGGAATGCCCACCGGGAGTGCACACTGGGAATACCCACCAGGAATACCCATCATTTTTGTCTCCCGGGAGTGCCCGCCTGGAATATCCACTGGGAATGCCCAATGGGAATGCCTGCCGGGAATGCCGGCCAGGAATATCCACCGGGAATGCCCTCTGGGAGTGCACGCCAGGAATTCCCACCGGGAATGCACACCGGGAATACCCATCAGAAATGCACACCGGGAATGCCCACCCCACCGGGAATGCCCACCGGCAGTGCCCACCTTTCCTCACCCGCCCCGCATCCCACCCCAGCCCGTGCCGCGCTGCTGCCACCACCCCAGGGGGGTCTGAGAAGAGGATTTCCATCCTCAGGGAGCCCGCAGGGGATGGGGTGGGACACTGCCCGCTGCCAGGCAGCTCTGGGAGCACTGGGAGCACTGGGGAGCTGCTGGAAGGGAGTTCAGCCCCACGGAGCTGGAGAGATTTGGAGATTCCTGCCAACATCATCTGTCAGCATCCAGCGTTGCAGGGGCTGGATCCATCCCCCAATGACACCCACACCTCTCTCCACACCCCAGGGATCCATCCCCTGGTGACAACCCACATCTGCCTCCACGCTCCAGGCTGGATCCATCCCCTGCTGGCACCCCCACATCTCCCTCCATGCTCCAGGCTGGATCCATCCCCTGCTGGCACCCCCACATCTCCCTCCACGCTCCAGGCTGGATCCATCCCCTGCTGGCACCCCTTTGCTGTAGGTGCCAGCTCTCAGTCCCTGCATCCCCCTGGCACCCACCAAACTCAGTTTCCCCTGGTGGCACTGCCTCTCCTTACTCATTTCAGGGTGAATGCTTTGCTTTGCCACAGTCCCCCTCACCTGTGGCTCTCCCAGCACTGTGTAAATGTTAATTAAGCCAGGCATGCCCATCTTCTTGTGGAGATGCTGGCAGCAGGGCTGGGTGGGAATTTCCAGTTCCCTGTGGACAATGATCCAAACCCCTCCTGGAGCAGCTTCTCCCTGACAGACCTTCCTGGAGGGCAGTGGGCTGGAAGGGGGAAATGGGTGGGAAAGGAGCACCAGCTGCTCTGGGCCCTGCAAGGAAGGAGGGATGGATCTTTAAAAATGCCTCTGGATGCTCATGGAGAGCTGCTCCTGGTTAGCTGTTGCTGGGGTATGTGGGGCTGTGGGGTTTGGGGGAACCCAGGCTGCTGGAGGAGCTTGTTCTGAGCTTAGAATGGAATTCTCCTGTTATCCTTCCACTCCTGAAGTGCTCAGAGTGTTCCAGAGGTTCAGCATTTCCCCATCCTGCTGGAGGGCTGGACACGGGGCAGGAAGAGCACAGGAAACCAAACAAGGTCCTTGACCCCCCCAAAGCCGAGGAGGGCATTGCAGGGGGGGAACCGCGGATTGTGAGCTCGGAGCAGCCCCTGGGCAGGGTCCCTGTGCCCCCCTGGGGGGGCAGGGCTGCTCTGCACGGCCCTGGGGGTCTTTGGGGGCTGTCCCTTCCCAGGTCACACACTGGCTGTGCCCTGGGGGTGTTTGGGGGCTGTCCCTGCCCAGGTCACACACTGCCTGGGCACGGGCACCGCTGCCTGACCCCGGGGCTGCCTGGGGCAGCAATCCCTGACCGGAGGTGCCACCTTAATCCGGATCACTGGCAAATCTGCCGAGTGCCCACGCAGCCCCGTGGCAGCTCCCTGCCTGCCTGGCTGTGCCCAGAGCCCCCCAGGAACCAGCCAGGAACGGGCACAGCCCCACAGCAGCCTGGCCCTGGCCGTGTTTTGCACTGGAGCGGAGCACAAACCCAGGAATTGTTGGCCTGAGCAAAGTGGGGGCAGATTATGGCATTCCATGGGCAGCTCCCACCCCCTGTGCACGGCTGCTGCATCCCAGCCTGCCAGGCCACTAATGCTACTTACATTATTAGGGGATTATTTGGTGTAATGAGCTTTGCCCCGCTCAGCTGGCCCTGTGCTCGGGCTCTGGGCTGTGTAATACTTCCTGCACGGGGCCACGAGGCGGGCAGCTGCTGCCTGAGCACAGGCACACAATGCACCAATGTTCCCGGCCACAATTCCAGCCTGGCCTGGAGGTTAAGCACGAATCAGGGAGCTTTGGGGAGTTTTTGAACAGAGCAGGAGGGTGAGGGTGCCCTGAGCCGGCTCCTGACCCGTCCCCACGGGCACAGCCAGCAGCCATGGCTCAGATCCAGCTCTGGAGCACAGCTAAAAGCATCTTGCCCATCCTCAGCTCCTTTTCCTCTGCCTCTCTGCCATCAGAGCAGCGAGGGCTCGGCGATGTGTTGCTATGGACACCAGGAAGTTTTCCCTGGAGACCAGAAGCCCGCACTGAGTGATGCCTGCGTGTTCCGACACAGATTATTATTATTATTATTATTTTTGTCTCCCCCCTTTCTTTGTTGTGAGTGTTTAAGAGTGGATGAATTCCTGGCTTTCCCCCGTGCCTCTGTCCTGCTTTCCTCTCCCAGCTTTGTGGATTTCCAGGGCTTGGCTTCATTCTGGGCCAGGGTGTGAGCTCGGGGTGCGTGGGAGGAAGGCTCAGCTCTGTAACTCTTGCTCTGCTGGAGATCCCTGCAGAGAAGATCCCTGATTTATTCCAGCCTTGGGAGATCCTCTTGGTCCCCTGAGGCAGCTGCAGAGCTCCTGGGCACCCCTTACACCAGCGACCATCACTGGTGCTGCATTCCTGCTCCCAGGGCTGCTGCCTCTTGGGTGGGGGTTCCCTGCTCCCTTCCTTTTGTTTGGGACCTCACAGTGATTAGGTCTAGACTAATTAGTCTCTGCTGGGCTAGCTCCAGGCCTGACTCCCATTTTGTCCCCCCCCTGCTGGCACTTGGTGTCCTTTAGTGCCTCGGGTACCTCTGAGAGCCCTTGGCTCGCGGGGAAGGGAAATCCCAGCAGCTCCTGGAAGTCAGGGCTGGGGTCTGAGCTTTGCAGGAGGGCGCTGGGAGCTCCCCTCGCAGCCCATTCCAGGATGGAGCCGTGCTCCAGGAGCTTCAGCCCCTGTGCCTCTGCGCCCTTGGCACGGGGAACGGGATTTTGCTGTGCCACGGTCTCAATGTCATTTTGACTTCTCTTGCTTGGCTTTTGAAGCTGATAATGGGCTGTTTCTGTTCCCTGTCACTTGATCTGCCCCTCGGCGAGCGAGGAGCCTCTGGTGAGTGATCTGCTCTGTCCTGTGCCCTTCTCCCCTGCTCTGGAGGCGCTTCACAGGCTGCCTTTCAATCAGCTGCTTCTCTTCTTCCTGGGAATGCAGTTCAGCCCTGGGTCAGAAAAGCTCTGGCCCATTGAAATCCTCCTTTTTGCTGCTTGACTTGCCCAGATTGTGACTCCCTGTCGGAAACCTTACAGCAAATAAATCCTGCAGTGCTTGGCGTGCTGTCAGCCTGGCTGGAGCTCCTGCCCAGCCCCAGCACTCCTGGGTGGGGCAGGGACAGCAGGAGCTGCTCTGTTTTCTCTGCTTCTTTGGGAATTGCCTTGAGACAGCAGAAGGATCCCTGCAGAGCAGGGGGGTTTCACCCTGGAGCGTGGGGGAGGCTGGGCATCACCTGTGTGGTGTCCCAGAGGGTGAGGAGTGTCTGCAGCAGGAGAATTTCAGCTCCTGCTCTGTCCTGAGGCTGCTGGGCATCACCTGTGTGGTGTCCCAGGGGATGAGGAGTGGAGGTGAAGCCCAGCACTGTCTGCAGCAGGAGAATTTCAGTTCTTGCCCTGCCCTGATGCAGCCCCAGCACCTCCCTGCTCTGGAAGGAGCCCTGGGGCTGGGCTGCTGCTCGTGGCTGAGGAGGTGACAGCCCCACCAGGGCCAGGCACTCCATTGCTGTGATGTTTGAAAGCTCCTTGACAAATGGCTCCTTCCTCCAGCTCCTAAGCAAACAAGTGGAAGTTCCAAAAGCCCAGCAGTTCCTTCCTGAGCTGCTGCCAGCTCGGAGCTCTCTGAGGGCCAGCAGCAGTGAGGACTGTCCCTGCAGTGTCCCTGCAGTGTCCTGTGCACCTGCTGTGGGGACAGGAGAGCACTGGGGAGCTCTGGGGTGATGCTGTCACCTGGCTGTCCATGCAGGGACAGAGTCTGGCACTGCAGGCCCGTGAGCATCTTCTGTGGGGCAGGGAAATCCCAGATCCAGAGAGGGCTGGGCTCCCCCTCAGGGTCACTGTTTTGTATTTGTGGGGTTCCCAGACGAAGGAAGGAAATGGTGAATCTGACTCCGTGTTCTTAGAAAGCTAATTTATTATTTTATCATCTATATTATATTAAAGAATACTGAAAGGATACTTACAGAAGGCTAAAGGATACCACTGAAAAACTCGTGACTCCTTCCAGAGTTCCAACACAGCCTGACAGTGGTTGGTCATTGAGTCAAAACAATTCCCATAAACCAATAAAACAATCTCCAAACACATTCCACAGCAGCAAAACACAGGAGAAGCAAATCAGATAATTACTGTTTTCATTTTTCTCTGAGGCTTCTCAGCTTCCCAGGAGAAAATCCTGGCGAAGGGATTTTCCAGAAAGTGTGACAGTGACATCAGTGGGTGCTGTCCTTGCCCTCAGTGCTGGCCTGGCCGTGTCACAGCCACCAGGCTGAGCTCAGCGCGGTGCCACCCGGCCGTGTCCCACGTCCTAACAGACCCTTCCCCTCTCTCCTTGCTGCCAGCAGTTCCGTACCAGCAGAACCCCTACAGCCCTGGGAGCAGCTCCTCTGCCATCCAGTGCTACCGCTGCGGGGACACCTGCAAGGGCGAGGTCGTGCGCGTGCAGAGCAACCACTTCCACATCCGCTGCTTCACCTGCCAAGGTAGGACCCGGCTCCCCAAAACCTCCTGGCCAGGGTGTCCCAGAGCCCCGGGGACAGACCTGCCTGGCCCACTGAGGTGGCAGCTGCAGGGGGGTGTGGTGTGGCACGGGTGGCACAGGGCAGGCAGAGCCCCTGAGTGATGGCAGAGCCGGTGACACCTCTGGGTGTCCGGTGTCCCCACCCCAGAGCAGCCTGCAGGTCCCAAATGTGTCCCCATCTGTGTCTGGGAGGGTCACTGTGTCCTTCAGCTGCTCCCAAAGCAGGAGGAGGAGCAGGGGGAGGAGGCACTGCCAGCCTGGCTGAGAGGCAGCGAGGTGGGGAGATGCCCAGAGCAGCTCTGACAGAGCTGGGGCTGGCTGACACATCCCTGTGACACCCCTGCCACCCGCCCATGGCATTCAGCTGGCACCTGGTGCCCGCCAGGGCTGGCAGAAGTGGGGCAGAGAGGTTGTTTGGATCCTCCTGGAGCAGCAGGGCTGTAAAGCTCGTGGTGCAGAGCTGCTGCTGCTCCTCAGCTCCTTTATTGGAGCAGCTGCTCCCAACCAGCCTCTGCAGGCTGTAAAATTCCCCATTCCAGGGCTTTTTAAAGGCCTCTGCTCTTCCAAGCTCCCCGTGCTAAGCATCCATCCCCCTGGCCACCCTCTGCTCCTTGCCAGAGCAGAGGTGACACTCCCCAGCTGTCCCCACCCTGCTGCAGCCCTGTCCCCCCTGGGGAGGGGCAGCCCCAGAGTTTTGGGAGAGGGGATCTGTCCCGGGATGCCCTCAGGGCTGACTGGCACCTGCAGGGCCCCGTGCTGCCCTCTCCCAGCTCGGCCTGGAGGATCCAGCAGGAGCTGAGCATCCAGACAAAGAGCTCAGCCAGCTTCAAAGGGAGCAGCAGCCAGCAGGGAGAGCCTGGCAGAGCTCTCTGCCCGATTTCCAAGTGAAAGGGAATAAATAATGAGAGGAAATCCTCCTGTCTCACCTTCCCTCGCAGCTCTCACCTCCTGCCACCTCTGGCTGGCTCCAGCCCCGCTGCCTGTCCCCGGGAGCTGGCACAGGACTGAGCCACGGGATGTGCTGTTCCCACAGCAAACAGGGCACACAGCAGCCTCGTTTTATCTTGCATTTGCTTCCTGATGTGTCCCCGAGCTGCTGGCCTGTCTCTCATTGCTGACAGGATGTTTGGGAGACCCAAATTGCCCTGCTGGGTGTCCAGGGAGCAGCTGCAAGGGGAGCAGCCCAGGGCAGGAGCTGCATCCCTGTCCCACAGCTGCAGGGACAGGACAGAGGGGCTGCAGGACAAACACAGACCGAGGTGGGCTGTGCCAGCGGGTGGCCAGTCACTCTGTGGTCCCCTCCCCACCGTGTCACCCTGCAGGATGAGCTGGGCATGGTGCCACTGTGCCACCCTGTGCCACTGCACTGCCAGCTCTGCTGGTCCCTCTGGCTGCAGAGGCCGTAGGAGGGGGATGATGCTGAGGCCAGGGCCGGACACGTCTGCTTGGATTCCTGTGATGGGCTGTGCACCACCCACGCTTCCCAGGCTGGGCTGGACACCCGTGGAACAACGAGCAGGGAGAGCTCCAACGTTCCCAGGAGCTGCTCCCGCCAGGGCAGGGCTCCATGCCGGGACTGCAGGTGGCTCAGGGACAACACCCCAGCCCAGCCGTCCCTGGGGCGCTCGCAGCCCTGTCCCCATGTTCCCCACGCCACGGGAGTGCCAGCCGGAGGGGCAGCTCCGGGCGGGATGCCCGGGCGGTGCCCAGCCGCAGGAGCGCTGCAGTGCAGGGGCTCCCTGCCGGCTGCGGGATCCCGGCCCCATCCCGCAGCCCGACACTGACACCTTGTGGGAGGCCCCAGAGCCGGGGAAACCCTCGGAGACACCTGCAGGAGGCTGGCGAGGCGGCGGAGCTCGGGGATTGCCAACCCCGGCCCCGCCGTGAGCGCTGCGCGTCCTCCCCGCAGTGTGCGGCTGCGACCTGGCCCAGTCGGGCTTCTTCTTCAAGAACCAGGAGTACATCTGCACCCACGACTACCAGCAGCTCTACGGGACCCGCTGTGACAGCTGCGGGGACTTCATCACCGGCGAGGTCATCTCTGCCCTGGGCAGGACCTACCACCCCAAGTGCTTCGTCTGCAGCACCTGCAGGTGAGTGGCACTGAAGGCTGGTGGCCCCTTGGAGAAGCCCTTGCCGGAGCTCCCTGCTGGCCCCAGGGCAGGAGCAGCCCCTGGGGACGCTGCTGACCCCTCCCCACTGTCCCTGGATGCAGGAAGCCATTCCCCATCGGAGACAAGGTCACCTTCAGCGGCAAGGACTGCGTCTGCCAAAACTGCTCCCACGCCCTGCTCAGCACCAAGCCCATCAAGATCCACGGGCCCAGCCGTAAGTTGTGCCAGGTGGCCCTGGAGGGGGGGACAGGACAAGCTTTGGGGCCACCCTGCAGAGCCAGGGTGTCACCGAGGGTTGGGAGGAGGGACGGGGCACTCCTGCAGCTCCACCCAGGTTTTGGAATCTCCCCTGGCCTATTGGTGGCCTTGGCAGAGCTCATGGTGGGTTCTGGAGCTGGGTTTGCTCCCAGGCAGTTGTTGGTGTCCAAGGGCTGTGCTGGGAATGCTCCTGGGGCTGTCACAGCTCTGGTGCTCCTTGCTGGCTCTGCAAGCACTGAAAGGGTTTTTGTGCTCACCCCCTTGCCCTGGTGAACCCCAGAGGTCCCCTAAGAGTCAGCTGGAGCGATGGACGAGCTCTTTAGGGTGGCTTTGGCCTTGCTTTTGACCCCAGGCTGGGAGGACCTTCCCTTCCTGCCTGACACAGCCCTGCAGCCAGGCCAGAGCAGGACAGGGTGTCACCCGTGGTCCTTGTCACCCAGTCACCATGGTGGCACTGCTGGTGGTGGGACTGGTGCTGAAGGACCCCTGTGAGCCCCCCAAGCTGCCTCTCCCCTCCATGGAGGGGACGTGGCAGGGTTGGACTGAGCCAAAGGACAGGAATTCCCTCATCTTCCTCCGTGGGCTCCCGGAGCCAGGCTCTGCCTCCCTCCCGCCTTCCTCTCCCTCCCCATCCCCTTCCCGGCGCTGCTGGGCCCTGCACAGGGGTCACCCGAGGACACCATGCCTCATTCCCGGCAGCTGCAGCACACGGAGCCTGTCCCCGCCCGCCCCGCTGGCCCTGGCAGTGCCACCAGCAGGGTGGCAGGGAGCTGTGCAGGCTGCTGGAGCCAAGGCATCCCTGGCAGCAGCATGCCCAGCCTCCCCCTGCAGCCCCAGCCCTGCAAACAGCCCCAAAGCAGCAGGACCCCAGCCAGGGAGCAGATCCTGCTTTCGTCCAGGGCTCAGAGATCCTCCAGGCGGGGATTTGGGATGGAGCAGCCTGGGCTGGGCTGGCTGCTCCTGCTTCCCCCGTGGCAGGGATGGGGTTAAGGAAACCCCAGGTTAAAGAAACTCCAGGCAGCCCTGCTGGCCAGGGGAGAGAGGACAAGGAGGAGCCAAGGTCAGGGTGCGAGGCCCTTCCTGCTGGGAGCAGGGCAGGAAGGGAGGCCGGGGATGGCGCAGCGGGGCCAGACAGCACAGCCCTTCCTCTGCCGGCCCTGCCCAGCCCTGGGCACCTGCCAGCCCCGCGGGGCCCTCCCACAGCCCGGCACACACCGAACCAGGCTGGAAAAGAGCCTTGAGGTCATCCAAGCTGTGACCCAGCAGCTCCTCCCTCATCAGCTAAACCTGGGTGCCACCTCCAGGTTCTTTTAAATCTCTTTTAAACGGTGACTGCGGCTCCTCCCTGGCACATCATTGCCGTGCCCAGTCACTGTTTCAGATAAGGTTTTTGTCCTGATGTCCAGCTGGCCTGGCTCAGGCTGCTCACCCCGAGGCAAGCCCAGCTCAGGGCTGTGCCCGGGTGCCAGGGGTGTCTCCGAGGTCCCAGCTTTCCCGTGCTGGGGACAAGCAGAGGGGACAGATTGCCACAGTGAAATGATCCCCACGAGGCTGCCTCAGCAGCAGGGTGTTGGTAACAGGGTCGTGCTCCGGGGCAGGGCTTTCCTCTGGGGGTGAGGGCACTGCCAGGGCTGTCACAGAGCTGGGGGTGTCCCCGCTGTGCCCACACCCCTGCTGTCCCCCCAGACTGCGCCGGCTGCAAGGAGGAGATCAAGCAGGGCCAGTCTCTGCTGGCGCTGGAGAAGCAGTGGCACGTCAGCTGCTTCAAGTGCCAGACGTGCGGGGTCATCCTCACCGGCGAGTACATCAGCAAGTGAGTGCCACCGCCCTGCCCTGCCCTGCCCTGCCCAGCCGGGCCGGGGGCTCGCCTGGCTCCCACCCAGCTGGCACTGACCCCTCTGTGCCCTCCCCAGGGATGGCATCCCGTACTGCGAGTCCGACTACCACGCCCAGTTCGGCATCAAGTGCGAGACCTGCGACCGCTACATCAGCGGCCGCGTCCTGGAGGCGAGTGCGGGGCTGGGGCGGCGACGTGGAGGGTGGCACCTGGCACAGGTCCCCAGGCCATCCCTGGGGCCGTGCAGCAGCTCTGTCACAGCCTGAGCGCCTCCTCCGAGGGTGGCAGAGGGGGGAGCAAGGCCAGCCCGTGGGTGCTGGAGCTGGGGACACAGCGGGAGTGACCTGGGAGCTGGGACACGTCTGCGGCTGTGGGACATCGGCCCCAGCAGCTGCTGCCGTGTCCCCAAACCATCCCTGTGCCGGCAGCCTGCCTGTTGCCTTGGAAACGCATCCCACACTGCTGCCCGCTGCCGAGCCTGCTCCGGGGCTGCAGCACCCTCCGGGGGCACTGATCCCCTGGCACACCCCTGGAACACCCCTGGAACTCCCCCTGGCATGGCAGGAACCAGAGCAGGGGCTGCAGCACCCTCCCGGGGGCACTGATCCCCTGAAACCCCCCTGGAACACCCCTGGAACTCCCCTGGAACCCCCCTGGAACCCCCTGGAACCTCCCCTGGCATGGCAGGAATTGGAGCAGGGGCTGCCCTTCACCAGGGGAGGCTTGGCTGGGCAGCAGGAACTGCTCTGGCAGAGCCAGGGAGGGATGCAGGGATTGCCCAGGGATGCCAGCATGGATACAGGGATTGCCCAGGGTGTTGGCAATTCCCAGAGTGCCAGCTTTGCAGGGACACTGTCCCTGCTGGTCTGGGACCCCTGGCTCTATTGGTGTTAAAGGTTTGGAGGAGAGCAGAAGCTCCTGGTGTTCCTGGAAGTTCCTGTTCCTGGTGGACTCGTAGCCCAGCAGGTTCCCAATGGCATTGAAGCCCTCTTGGTTTTCTCCATGGGCCCGTGGAGGCCTCCAGGGCCAGCCCTGTTTGTCACCTGGTCCCTGTGGGCAGCAGAGAGGGCTGGCAGGGTCACTCAGGGACAGGGGACAGGGGACAGGGGCAGTCCCCTGTCCTGCCTGGCTCAGGGCTCCTCTCTGCTCACCCCACAGGCAGGAGGGAAGCACTACCACCCCACGTGTGCCAGGTGTGTGCGCTGCCACCAGATGTTCACAGAGGGAGAGGAGATGTACCTGACAGGTAACCTGTGACAGCAGGGCTGGGGGCACGGGGGGTTTGGCTCCTCGTGGCCCCTGGAAGGGTCTCTGTGTGCAGATCCCCCTCCCACTGCCCTCAGCTGCTGGGGGCAAAAATCTCTGCTCTCCACGAGCCCTGCCCCTGAGCTGGGAGCTTTTCATCTCCTGCACACCTGGGCACAGCCCGATCTCTGCTCACTCCAGCCCGAAGGAGGGAGGTGTTGTGCTGTCCCCAGCTCAGTGTCACCCCAGTTTAACCAGCAGCAACTGGTTGGGCCACCCCAAACCCACCCGAGTTTGCTGTCCCAGCTGAGGTTTGGCCCTGCCCTGTTCCATTCCTCATCACAGACACTCAGTCCCACTGCCCTGCACCTTGCTGTGGCACTGCTGGAGGTGGCAGGGGGACCTGGCTGGCCCTGGCAGGGACGGGGTGACAGTGTGTGGGGCTGAGCACTGTCCCTCTGCTGTCCCTTTGCAGGCTCTGAGGTGTGGCACCCCATCTGCAAGCAGGCAGCCAGAGCAGAGAAGAAGCTGAAGGTAGGCACCAGGGCGAGGGGATCGGAGGGGTGGCACGTCCCAGGTGCCACTGTCCTGATCCCTGCTGGAACTGAACTGTTCTGGCAGTGCCCACACCTGGAGTGGCTTCCTGAGGCTGCCCAGGGGAGGATGAGTGGCCGTGGCTGGGGCTGTGGCAGTGAAATCCAGCCCCAAACCACCAATCTGCCTGCTGGGGGGCCCTCCCTGCCCTGCTCTCACCTGCCCTCCCCTTTGTGCCTCCACAGCACAGGAGGACCTCAGAAACCTCCATCTCGCCCCCCGGCTCCAGCATCGGCTCCCCAAACCGTGTCATCTGCGTAAGTGCAGCCCTGCCCCTCCCCGGGGGTGGGGACAGCAGTGCCACAGCCACTCCTGAGCGGGACAAGCCCAGAATCTGGGGACAGCAGGCACGAGTGCCCCTGTCCCTGCAGCACGCTGTGCCACCAGTGCCGTGCCACAGCTCGGGAGCAGCCAGGGGCACAGCCCTGCCCTCCCAGCTCCTCTGCCCTGCCCCTGCTGCCTCTCAGGCCTCTCCTCTTAGCTGTCCCTGCTGCTGGGGTGACAATGGGCTCTGTCTGCCCTGTGCTGGCTCCACACTGCGCTGCAGCCTCCCTTCCCTTCTCTCCTCCTCTTCCTTTCCACCTCTCTGTCTGTCTCTCCCTCTCCCTAGGCTAAAGTGGATAATGAGATCCTTAATTACAAAGACCTGGCAGCTCTTCCCAAGATTAAAGCCATCTATGAAGTGCAGCGTCCCGACCTCATTTCCTACGAGCCCTACCACAGATACACGTCGGACGAGACGCTGGAGAGATATAGCTATGGGGAGGTACTGGGGCTGCAGGGGCCCTGCGGGGCTGCAGGGACGGGCCCCACCCCGGGCACAGCTCTGGGGGGCTGCTCATGCCAGGGGGAGCCGGGCAGGGTCTGTGATGGAGGTGAGGTGATGCTGCTGTAGAGCCAGAGAGATCCCAGAGAGCTCAGGGCGTGTGCAGGGACACACAGGGCTGTGTGAGAGGAGTGATGGGCAGGGAATGCATCCCTCCCAGCCCTGAGCAGGCAATCCTGCAGGCAGCCAATCCTGCAGGCAGCCAGCACAGCTCCTCTGCAGCTCCTCTGGAGCAGGGCTGCCTCTGGGGTGCTGCCCTGCAGCCAGGGAAGGGGCTGGGGCACTGCATTTCTGCAGGGCATGAGCAGGGGATGCTCAGGCACAGGACTGTCCTGCCTGCCCAGCTGGGGCTGCTGGGGAGCCCAGGGAGCTCAGGAAGGAGAGGTCCTGAGCAGCTCACCCAGAGGGGCACTGAAGTGGTGCTGTCAGAGGATTTGGCAGCAGCCCCTCTCCCATCCCCACCCCACGGTTCTGCCACAAGCCTGGCGTCCTGCAGCCCACCAGGGTGGTGCAGGCAGCGTGGCCGTGGCCCCTGTGCCTCCCCCTCTCCACAGAGCTCTCTGACAGGTGACAGCTGCTGAGTGCTCCTGCCAGTTCCTCTCCTGGCCAGGGCTCCCTGCCCCAGTTCAGCTCCAGTGTAACCCAGGGAATAACTGCTGTGGGACCCCAGTCTGTCCCTGCTCCCCTTAACCACGTGCTGTCTCTCTCTCTTTTCCTCCTCACTCTGCCTCCTGCTGCCTGCAGTCCCTGGGGACCCTCTCCCCATACTCTCAGGTAATGCCCCTGTGGGCTCTGGGGGTCTGTCCCTCTGTCCAGGCTCTGCTGCTCATCCCCCTGGGCTGGTGGCTGTCCCAGGGTGTGGGGAGGTGGGTTAGGGGGACTGTTGTGTCCTTGAGGCCCCAAAGAGAGCAGGGTCAAAGCCCTTTCTGGTAGAATGGCCCCAGGGTGCAGCTTCTGCCCTGTGGAGGGAGCCCCAGTAACTGGGAACGAGTTCAAGGGAAGGGGACAATCTAACACCTAAAAAAAATCTAAAACCACACACAGTGTAAGTTCACGAGCTCCTAAATACAAAAAGTAACCACACAAGCAACAGAATTCATTATTGATGCCAACACCTATTTAAAGCAAGCCTCTGTCACCTGCTCCCAGCCCCTGGGCTCTGCTGCCTGGGGACACAGGCACTGTGTCCCTCCAGCCTCAGGGGACACAGCCACTGCCCGGTGCCACACCCAGAGCAGCCCAGGCAGGGACCCCGGCCCTGGGACCCCCCCTGGCAGCTCTAACCCCGCTCTGCACCCCTTCCCCTCGCCAGGACATCTACGAGAGCTTTGACCCGCGGCAGAGGCGAGCCTCCAGCCCCGGCTACATCGACTCCCCCACCTACGGCCGCCAGGGCATGTCCCCCACCATGCCCAGGTCCCCCCACCATTTCTACCGCTCAGGTGAGGCTCTGGGCTGCAGCCCCAGCCGGCAGCTGGAGAGAGGATCCCAAAAATAGCTCTGGGGTTTCTGGGGTTTCTCAGCAGGAGTGGCCCTGGGGTGGGAGCAGCGCCTGGCTCTGCACATCCCCCGGCCCAAACTCCTGCCAGCAGCAAGGAGAGGCCAAGGGGAATTTTTGGGGCTCAGGCAGGATGGGGTGGGAGGCAAAGACCCCTCAGGTGCCCTGGTGGCTCTGGGAGGGGTGTGCAGGAGAGTGCTTGTGCCCGGGGAGCTCCTTGCACAGCCCGAGCATGGCGGGGAGCAGAGCGTGCCTGGCCGTGCCTCCTGTCCTCTGCAGCTGCCGAGGAAGGACCGGAACCCTCCGAGCTCACCGAGAGCCCCGCCGGGGGCTCATCCCTGCCTCTGCAGCACGCTGGGCTTTCCCCCGCACATCCCGGAGCTGCGGGAGCCCTGCCCCGCTCCATCACCGCCCCTCCTGGAGCGCAGCCCCCCATCCCACGGGTCACCGCCGCTCTTCTAACACCGCTGCATTTAACACCCATTTTCTTCTGCCTCTTGTTCTCTCTCTCGGTCGCTCACGGCTGCTTCTGCTCGGCCCCGCGCAGGCACCGAGAGCGGGCGCAGCTCCCCCTACTATAGCCAGTTAGATGTGAGGTCCTCCACTCCAACCTCATACCAAGCGCCCAAGCATTTCCACATCCCAGGTAGGCTCCGGAGCGCCCCGCTGCCCGGGGAGCGCCGTGTCCGTGGCATGCCCGCGTGTCTCGTCCCCGCTGTGTCGCATGCCTAGCTCCGCCGCCTGCCTAGAGCCAGCTGGCAGCAGGATCCAGCCCGGTAGAGGCCATCCATAAACAGGACCTGCGGCTTGAACTCTGCTCCTTTTCTCCTCCCCGTCACCACCGCGAGGTGCCAGAGCCGCCCGCAGCCTGCTTGACCCTCGCAGCATCCCTCCTCCTCCTCCTCCTCCTCCCTGCCCTCCCTCCACTCTTCCCCACGCCAAACGAGTGCCCTGGTGAGAGCCCGTGCCCTGCCCTGCCTCGCCCCCAGGATCAGCAGCCGGAGCGTGTGTGCCAGAGGCGTTTCCACACCCATCCGCTACAGATGACTATTTTATACTCCCCCTAGGGCCCGCCGCTCCCTCCCCCCAGTGTCTTCTGGGCTTGCCAGATGCCTGCTCCCCTTCTGCAGGGATTGCAGGGGCCACCAGGTAAGGGCCACCCCCCGCCCCCGGCACCGCAGAGCCCACGGGGCCGGGGCCGGAGCGGGCAGGAAAGGGAGAGGGGGTCGGGAGGCAGGGAGAGCTGCCCAGCACCCCTCGGCGGGGTCAGAACCCCGCACCGTCCACCCGGCTCTTGGCATCTCCCCGTGCCCCGACAGCGTGGCACCCTCGCCAAGGCATCGCTGATGCCCTGAGGACACGCGGAGGCTCCCCCAGCTCCATCCCTGCCCATCCTGCCCATCCTGCCCATCCTGCCCATCCCTGCCCATCCCTGCCCTGCCGCCCGGTGTTTATGGATGGCCCCATCCCTGCTCCAGCTCGCTTTCCCTCCCGACTCGCTCTTTTCTCTCTCTGTGCTGCGGAAAGAGGCTTTGTCTGCTGCTGGCTCGCCCCGGGTGCTCGCAGGCGGCTCTGGCGGCTGCTGGCACCCCGAGAACGCCGCGGGTGCCCGGCTGCAGGCTGTGCCCCGGCACGGTGCATGCTGTCGCTGGGCGCTCGCTGCATGTCCTGCCGCTCCTGGGCAGCCGGGACCGCGCTGCCGTGCCCGGCCCGTGGACCGGAGCAATCCCGGCGCCCTCCCGGAGCATTCCCGGAGCAATCCCGGGGCAATCCCGGGTCAATCCCGGAGCAATCCCGGAGCAATCCCGGGGTATCCCCGGAGCAATCCCGGACCATTCCCGGAGCAATCCCCGAGCAATCCCGGAGCATTCCCGGGGCATTCCCGGGGCATTCCCGGGGCAATGCCGGAGCCCTCCCGGAGCACTCCCGGAGCTATCCCGGAGCAATCCCGGAGCTATCCCGGGGCAATCCCGGGGTAATCCCGGAGCCCTCCCGGAGCCCTCCCAGGGCACTCCCGGAGCATTCCCGGGGCATTCCCGGAGCTATCCCGGGGCAATCCCGGAGCAATCCCGGAGCAATCCCGGAGCCCTCCCAGGGCACTCCCGGAGCACTCCCGGGGCACTCCCGGGGCACTCCCGGAGCCCTCCAGGAGCAATCCCGGAGCCCTCCCAGGGCACTCCCGGAGCACTCCCGGGGCACTCCCGGAGCAATCCCGGAGCTATCCCGGAGCACTCCCGGAGCAATCCCGGGACAATCCCGGGACAACCCCGGGTCACTGGAGGCGCTGTGTGATGGAAGCGTGGCGCGGGGATGGCGGCTCCCGCAGGACCCGTGTCCTGCGCGCTCCCAGCACGCCCCCACTCACCTCCCTCTCCCCTTTTTCTTCCCTTTCTCCCTCTCTTCTCCCACCAGCTGCCGGCGAGAGTAACATCTACAGGAAGCCGCCCATCTACAAGCGCCACGGTACGCTCTGGTGGCCGTGTCCCCGTGTCACCCGGGGAGGGGACCCGGTGCTCTGGGCTGGGGGGAGTGGGGCAGGCGCCGGGGTTTGGGTGCTGGGCTCCGGGGGAATGCTCCTGCTGCTGCTCTGGGCAGCAGAGGGGCTCAGGGGGGGACACGTGTGACTTTGGAGCACGGCCCTGCTGTGACAAAGGCTGGCAGTGCCACCAGGGATGGCTGTGGGAGGGGGAGCAGGGCCTTGGTGGGACAAGGCAGTCAGAGCACCCTCGGAGAAGGGCTGAAAAAAGCAATTTGCAGTTTCACACGCAGCCCTGGAGAAAATGCAGCCCACTGTGGGTGGCTGCTCCAGCCTGAAACAGGCCTGGGGGTGCTGCAGGCTGGGGAGGGTGCTTGGTGGCCCTCGGTGCTGGGTGGCTCTCGGTGTTGGGTGGCCCTTGGTGTCGGGTGGCCCTCGGTGCTTGGTGGCTCTCGGTGCTGGGTGGCTCTCAGTGTTGGGTGGCCCTTGGTGTTTGGTGGCCCTTGGTGTCGGGTGGCTCTCGGTGCTGGGTGGCTCTCAGAGGGGCTGGCTCTCTCTGTCCCCTCCTGCTCGGGAGGGACAGCAGCTCCCCCTGAGCAGTAACCGTGTCTCCTCTCTCTGCCCTCCCTCCTGCCCACCTCCCACCACCCTCTGCTGCTGCTGCTGCTGCTGTAAGTACCTGCTGGGTCCCCTGTGCCTGCCGGGGGTGTGGGATGGCCCTGCCACCTCCTGTCCCTGCTGCTCCTTCCCCTGTCACTCTCCTGGCCTCTGGTGCAGCAGAACTCCCCCCGGGTACCCCTGTGTGCTGTGGAGGCTCTGTCCCCAGCCTGAGCACCCTGTGTGTCCCTGCCATGAGGACCCAGCCCTGCCAGAGCCCCTCTGCTGCCACCTTTCCCTGGCAGAACCCAGAGAGCCCCATCCCTGCTGGGTCTGGACCTTCCTCCGTCCCCTCTGTCACCTCCTGGGGACAGGACAGCGCAGGAGCAGTGGCACTGCTGGGACTGGGATGAGCAGGAGGCAGCACGTGTGGTGCCGTGGGCTCTCAGCCATTTGGGTCCCTTCCCAGCCACATCAGTGACATCCCCTGCTTGTCACTGTCCCCACTGTCCTGCCTCAGCACCCTTGAGGAGGTGTCAGCAGCTGGAAAAATGATTATTCCCAGCTCTGCTCCAGGCCCAGCCACAAATCCCTGGCAGTCCTGGGGAGGGAAGAGGCTCTGCCTTGGTTTGGGGGGATCTCTGCAGATGCTCACCTTGGCTCTGCCTTGGTTTGGGGGGATCTCTGCAGATGCTCACCTTGGCTCTGCCTTGGTGTGGGGGGATCTCTGCAGATGCTCACCTTGGCTCTGCCTGTTCCTGCAGACACCCCCTGTGCAGCCACCAAGAGCAAAACCAGCGAGGACATCGCCCAGTCATCCAAGTACAGCCCTGCCTACTCCCCTGACCCCTACTACCACTCCGAGTCCGAGTACTGGTCCTTCCAAGGCTCACCCAAAGGTAACAAATTCCCCTTGGGCTGCGAGAAAGGGAAACCCATTCCTGCTCCACGTTTTCTGGGAGGAATCCTCGTTTTCATTTGGGTCTGGACACAAAAGTGGGGCTGGGCTGAGATCCCTGCCAAGGTGACCCCAAAACCCAAGCAGTGTCTGGGAGCTGACTGTCCCCAGGCAGTGGGGACTGCCCCTCCCTGCCTGTCCCCCTTTTGTCCCCCTGTGACCCCTGACTGTCCCCTTGCAGCTCCCCGGGCCCGGAGGTTCTCGTCAGGTGGCGAGGAGGATGGGTACGACCGGGGCATGCACAAGGTGAGTGCCAGCCCTGCTGGGCACAGCCAGCACCCAGCTGCCAGGACAGGGACAGGGGTTGGGGACATGGGGCTCCAGAACTGGGGCAGAGTTTGGGGGGTCTCAGTGGCTCCTGAGGTGACACCAGAGGGGTCCCCAAGTGCCAGGACAGGAACAGGGCTGGGGACACCAGAGGCCACCAGGGGGTGGGAACATGGAGGGACACCAGGGCTCCAAAACTGAGGCAAAATTTGGGGAGGTCCTGAAGGATCCCGGGTGGTTCTGGGGGGTCCTGGGTGACAGCAGGGGTGTCCCCAAGCTGGCTCTGGGGAGAAGGCTCAGCCCAGCTCTGCCACCCGAGAAGGTGCCACCACCACCCCTGCTGCCCTCGGGCATCTGTCCCCTCCTGGCCACCCCCAGCTCTGAAGGAGGGCACAGCTGAGGCACCCCCACCCCAGCATCACCCTCAGGACATGCTGTGCCCTTCCGTGGTGTGCCAGAGAGGGCTGGGCAGGGACAGGAAGGGTGCCAGGTGGCTTTTCCCCCCTGCCAGATCCAGAGTGGCATCGGGAGGCTGATCCTGAGGGAGGAGATGAAGGCTCGCTCCAACTCCTACGCAGACCCCTGGACACCCCCTCGCAGCTCGGCCAGCAGCAGGGAGGCCCTGCACACAGTGGGCTACGAGGGCTCCCTCAATGGCTGTAAGGCTGTCCCTCTGTCCCTCTGTCCCAGCCAGCACAGCCCCAGCCCCTCGGGGCATCTGCGGGGTGGACAGGGAGGAATGGGGTGAGCAAAGGGCTGATCAGAGGTGCTGGGCATGGAGCTGGGCTCGGGAGGGTCTTTTCCTCTCTGGAGGGCTCCAGCCGTGCCCTGTGGCCCAGCTGGGATGGGGCATTGCCCACTGGGCAGCCTGGCATGGCTGAAGGATCCCTGGGGGATCTGGCAGCACAGCCATGCCCGGGGGCTGGCACCTCTTCTGGGCTGGCACCTCTGGGCACCCCAGGGCTGCCCTGCTTGCCCTGCTCTTCTCACAGAGCCCCCAGCCCTGCCCTGGGGGCCACAGGGGGCACTTCAGAGCCTGGCAGCACAGATGCCCTGTCCATTCCATGCTCTTCTTCCTCATGGCACCTGTGCCCTCACGGGGCTGGAGACACTCTGGGAGCCCGAGGGAGGATCCGTGGGGCTGGGGACACCTCTGGGAGCCCCAGGGGAATCCGTGGGGCTGGGGACACCCAGGGAGCCCCAGGGAGGATCTGTGGGGCTGGGGATGCCCAGGGAGCCCCAGGGAGGATCCGTGGGGCTGGGCATGGGCAGTTGTGCAGGGATGGGGTGCCTGGCCCTCCCTGACAGCAGCTCTGCTCTCCTTGCAGCTCCCAGAACCCATTACCTGGCCGACAGTGGTGAGTGCCCGCCCCAGCCCGGGGCAGAGCCCAGCTGGAGCAGGGAGGGGAGAAGGGAAGCCAAGAAGGAGCCCTGGAAAGCCTGGATTAGGACAGAGCTGGAGCAGGGCAGGGAGGATGGAGAGGGGGAGCTGGCACAGGAGAGTGTTGCTCTGCAGGGTGAGGTGGGAGGGGGCCACGGGAAAGGGATTTTGGGGAAAGGAATGTCAGCACAGGCTGGGAATGAGCTGGAGCTGGAAGGAGACAGAGCTGGGGGCACAGAGGTGGCCCAGTGGGGGCTGTCTGGGCTCTGAGGCTCATTGCTGCTTTCTCCCTGATGCCCTTGGGGGCTCCTTTGCAGATCCCCTCATTTCCAAGTCGGCCTCCCTTCCTGCCTACAGGAGGAACGGGCTGCACAGGGTGAGTGCCTCCTGCTGCTGCCAGGCTTCCCCCTTGTGCCAGGCTTTCCCCCTTGTGCCAGGCTTTCCCCCTTGTGCCAGGCATTCCCCATTGTGCCAGGCTTTCCCCTTTGTGCCAGGTATTCCCCCTTGTGCCAGGCTTTCCCCCTTGTGCCAGGCTTTCCCCTTTGTGCCAGGTATTCCCCCTTGTGCCAGGCTTTCCCCCTTGTCCCAGGCATTCCCAATCTCTTCTCCCAGGCATTCCCAATCTCCCAGGCTTTCCCCCTTCTCCCCCAGCTCCTCCAAGCCCCCAGTGCTCCCTTTCCATCCCTGGGATGTCCTGTTCCCCCCTCCTCCGCAATCCAAAACGATTATTATCATTAATAATCATGATTTATTTGGGTCCAAAGAGCCCTGTCCAGGCAGTGTCTGCCCTGAAACTCCCACGGGGCAATTTCCAGAGGGATGCTGGTGTTGCTCTCCAGCAGAAGAGCTTTGCTTTGTATCCTGGGGATTGTTTGGGATCAGGAGCTCTGCTCCTGCCCCCGTGTGACCCGGGCTTGTCACTTCACCTCCTCGTGTCTCGCCTTCCCTGCTGCTGGGTGGGAACCCGGGACATCTGTGTGCCCTGGGTGACATGTGCCCCTGGCAGGAGGCCAAAGACACTTGGGATTTCGATTTTAACTCGTGGAGCAAATTCCCAACCTTGTATGAAGAATCACAAGTCACAGAAGTTTGAGTAATAATGAATTAATCACCGGGTGAAAAATGGAGTTCTGGGGGTTTTGTTATAGGGGGTCTAGGGGGCAAGATGGAGGGACATGGGCATTGTCCCATGCTTCTTTCTTCTTCTTCTTCCTAGCCTCCATCTAATGGGTGATGGTGGCACATTTAGATTGGCCTAGACTAGAAGCAGACAGTCTAACATAGACAATAGATATTGGAAAATAATGATAAATAAAGTATAAGTAACTCATAGTATAAAATGCAGACACCAGCCCAGTGTGCCCGTGACAGAGCTGCAGATCAGACCTCTGCGGGTCTGAGAGAAAATATTTTAGATAATAGATAATAAACCACCTTGTGAACACGAGCTGAACTCTTTGTTCAGCTGTCGGGCAAGAAAAGGGACTCAGGTCATCCTGACAGTAGGGGACCGAGAGGTGGGGACCTCGGTGTCCCCCTGGGGACACGGGAGGTGCCACGTGGGGCTCTGGGGGAGCCTCCCTCTCACTGCCCTCTCTCCATCCTCCGCAGCCTCCCAGCGCCGAGCTGTTCCACTACGACAGCACCAACGCCGTCAACTGGGGCATGCGAGGTGAGGGGACAGGGCTGGCATTGTGGGGACAGGGCATGGGGCTGCCAGCCCCCCCGGGACAGGGCTGGCACTGCAGGGACACGGGATGGGGCTGCCAGCCCCCCCGGGACAGGGCTGGCACTGCAGGGACACGGGATGGGGCTGCCAGCCCCCCCGGGACAGGGATGGCATCACAGGGACACGGGATGGGGCTGCCAGCCCCCCCTGGGACAGGGCTGGCACCTGGGGACACGGGATGGGGCTGCCAACCCCCCCGGGACAGGGCTGGCATTGTGGGGACACGGGATGGGGCTGCCAGCCCCCCCTGGCAGCTCTGCAGGGGGATGGGGACACGCAGCTCGGGGCAGGGTGGTGGCAGCAGAGGTGGCAGCAGAAGGGTGGCTCATGTCTGTCTGTCTTTCTGCTCTCCCCACAGAGTACAAGGTAAGACCCTTCTGCTGCAAGGAGAGGCCGCCAGGCAGAGCCCCAGGGGGGTGTCCGTGTGTCCCAGGCTCTTCAGGGGGCAGCTCTGCCTTTGTTCTGCTCCGTCCTGGAGGTGATAGCCCATGCCAGGAGTGGGGGTCACCCCGAGCCCCTCCCCTGCTGCAGCTACTGGGTGCTGCTGGGCACGGCTGTGCCCGGGTGAGGAGGGGGCTGTGCTGGTGCTCTCCTGCTCACGGCCATGCCCGGGTCACTCCTGCTCGTGCAGGGTGAGCAGGTTGTCCCAGAGCCACCACGGAGCCTCAGGGTGGATCAGAGTCACCCCGAGAGCAGCTCCCACCTGTCCTCGTCCCACCCCAGCCCTGCAGGCAGCTGTGCCCCCCAAACCCTGTGAATCCAGCAGGAGGCTTTGCCCTCGCCCCCGAGGGTGCCCAAGTGCCTGTGGCTGCCCCACGGTGTCCCTGTCCCTGTCCTGTGCAGATTTACCCCTACGAGCTGCTGCTGGTGAAGACGAGGGGGAGGAACCAGCTGCCCAAAGACGTGGACAGGACTCGGCTGGAGGTGAGCAGAGCCTTCTGCCCCGGGCACAGAGGGCACAGAGGGCCCTGGCACGCGGTGCGTGGGGCTCGTGGCTCTGTGAGGAGCGTGCCCACAGCTGCTCAGGGGCACACGAGTGGCAGGGCACTGTCACAGGGCTCCTGTGCCTCGGCAGGGGCAGGAGGGAGGCAGGTCCCCCCTTCCCGTGCTGGGCTGGTGTCACCCCAGTGTCCCAGCGGGCACGGCGTGCCCTCAGAGCCCCTGCCAGGCACCCAGCCTCCTGTTTCTCCCCAGAGGCACCTGTCCCAGGAGGAATTCTACCAGATCTTCGGCATGACCATGGCCGAGTTCGACCGCCTGGCGCTGTGGAAGAGGAACGAGCTGAAGAAGCAGGCCCGGCTGTTTTAAACACAGTGCACTATAAATATATACATACCTATAAATATATACATAGAGAGATCTCTATATGGCAGCTCTGTATGATTCCCGGGGCTGTGAGGGCCACAGGGGCCCTGCCTGCACCCCTGAGAGTGAATTGGAGTCTTGCAGATCGTTTGGTGCTCTGTGTGTGCTTTCCTTTTCCAGCCTGATTTTTTATGGATCCCCGGGCTCTCCCCAGGCTTGGTGTGTGTCACTGCTGCCCCCAGGGACACGAGGGCAGGGGGGGACTCATGTCTGGTATTTCCATTTCCACAGGGACACGCGGGATGGGGAGGATTTTCCTTCAGCAGCCACGGAGCTTGGGGCTGGCAGGGAGCAGGGCTTTGGGATGGGGGCTGCATTTTTGGGGTGTCCCATCCCCTCCTGCTCAGCTGGGCTGTGGAGTTGGGTGGAAAAGGCCCTGGGCACAATGGCAGGAAAGTGGGGTCTCACTCCAGGCTCCTTAAATCCATCCCTGCCTTCACATGGCCAGGACTGGGGGCACTTCAGCATCTGCAATGCAGAGCTTGGGGCAGGGGTAGCAGTGGAGGGGACCCTGAGTCCCAGTCCCTCCTGGGCTGGTGGCTTTCCCTGCAAAGCCTGCGTTCCTCCAGAGCCACTTTATCCTCCCAAGGTGCCAGAATAGCCACTTTCCACCCCAAACCCAGCCCTTCTCAAGTGCAACAGCCAAAGCCACCTCCTGCCTTGTGCAGTTTCTTGCTGCTCCTCAGGTTTGTCCAGGGCTGAGTATTCCAGGATATTCCAGGATATTCCAGGGTATTCCAGCTGGGAGCAGAGGAGAGGAGTGGGAAATGCAGCTCCCACTACCTGCTGCACCTCTCCTGGGTTTTCCTGAACCCCCCATCACCACTGCCATCATTCCCTGATGAATCCTCTGGGAATGCAGGCAATTCCCTCCGCTGCAAACTCTTCATGTTTGTATCCCAAACTCTGTGGGATAACTTTGCTTTTTTGCCTTATTTTTTTTTTCATAAAAGGAATGAGGTTGTTTCCACACAAACACCTTCCCTGCTGTCTGTGGTGCTCTGCTTTCCTGTTTCCTCCTTCTGCAGGATTTTCAGGCGTGCAGCAGGGTTGGACAGTCCCAAAAACAGGGGCAGGGACCTGTGGGGTGCCAGCAGGAGCTGGGTCAGCTGTGAGGGGACAGCACAGGTTTTACCCCCACTGTGCCACGTTCTGTCCCCTCTGAATCCCTCCTGTCCTGGTGTCCCCATGGAGAGGACTCAGTGCCCTTCCTGCCATCCAAAACTTCCCAATTAATCACCCAAAACTCCATCAGCAGGTTCCCCTTGCAGGGCTTTGCCACAGGCTCACTCAGGGCAGGGATTTTGCCAGCTCCAGCTCTGGAGCTTTGTGCCAGCCAGGAGAGGGCTGGGACTGAGGTGAGGATGGCAGCACTGCCCTGGGAGCTGCTCATCTGCTCCAGTGCAGCAGCAAATGAGCCCAGTCGGTTTGTAATTATTTCACTCATACAAAATAGGGCTCTCTAAATCAAACTGAGCCGTTTGTGGCTGTAGGAATCTTCCCTCTCCAGCAGCATTCCGGTGAGGAAGCCTGGGGGGTGTTATTAATAACAGTAATAACTCAGCAGCAGGATATTTTCATTTCCAGAGCATTTTATGGACAATAACGCTCCTCCACAAGGACCTGCATGGCAAAGGTGGGGAAACTGAGGCAGGGCTTGTTTTTTCTCTCAGAGCCAGGGCAGCACCTCCAGCTCCATTCTGGGGTAGCAGACACTCCAGGGGTCCCTGTCCCACTGCCCTGGTGGGGAGCAGGGACACCCCATGTGCCACCACCTGCCCTGGCAGCTGTCCCTGCAATTCCCAGAGCAGCCTGGCAGCGTTGGCAGCCCTGGGCTGAGATTCCTGCCCCAAAGGAGATCCCGAGCTGTGGAAGAACACTGGGGCTCAGTCCAGAATGGAGAGACACCAAAGACCATCCACGCAGGGGCTGGTTCCCAGCCGGGCGTGGGGGGTGAGAGGGGCTGAGTTCCCTGGGCTGAAACTGCCCCAAAAAGGGGAATTTTCTCCAGGCCAGTTGCTAATTCACAGCTGATATTTCAATTCCTGCTTTCCCGGTGATAATAATTGGGTACATGTGAAAGCTCATCACATTTCTGTCCCATCACTGCTCTGTCCCAGTCCTGCAGCCCGGGTTGTCCCGGCAGTGCCAGCAGCCTGTGTCCTTGCTGCCATGCCGGGGACACTGTCACCTGTCCCACAGGTCTCCCTGGAGGCTGTGCTGGGGAGGGACAATGGCAGTGGCATGGCCAGGGACACGCCGGGCACAGCAGGGAGCAGACGTGGAGGGGATTTTGGGGAGGGGGACACGAGGAGGGCTCAGAGGGGAGCTCTACTCGCTACGAGCTGCGGGAATTCGGGATTTTTCCCCTAAACCGAAGTCGCCCAAGCCGGGCAGGTGGAGGTGGCTCACTCACGACCCCCGCCCTTCCCGGGGTGTCTCTGGGTGATGCTGGGGATGCAGGCAGGCGGCGGACCCCAGCCCGGGGCTGTCCCCGCTGCCGTGCCGTGCCGGGCCGGGGCTGGGCGCTGCCGTGCTCGCACCGAGGGAGGGAAGGAGGGAGGGAAGGAGGGGCGGGTGAAGGGATTGGCCGCCCCGAGCGAGAGCCGGCCCCGCCGGGCGGCCGCTGCCCGCCGCACTCGCCCGCCCGCAGCTCCCGGGGCGGCCGCGGCTCCGCGCCATGGACCGGCTCAGCGGTAAGGGGCACCGGGACGGGCACGGCAGGGCACGGCAGGGCAGGGCAGCGCCTCCCCGGGCACAGCGCAGGGCAGCGCGGATGCCCGTGCCAGGCGCAGGGCAGTGCGGATGCCCATCGCGCATCTCCGGCTCCGTGCGCGATCCTGCTCCCCAGCGCTCCTCCAGCACGGGCGGCTGCGGCAGCGGCTGGAACCAGTTTGTCCGTGCTGCTGGGATGGGTGGAACAGCACGAGCCTGCAAGGGAGGCTGTGGGGTGTACGCGCTTGTGGAGGGAGATTGTGGTGGTGGAAAGGGAGGTGGCGTTATCCCATGGGGCTGATGGGTTCAGAGGCTTCCCTGCCCGGGAGTCTCCCAGGGTTTCCCTGTCCTGGAGTCTCCCAAAGTTTCCCTGCCCAGGAGTTTCCCAGGGTTTCCCTGTCCTGGAGTCTCCCAGGTTTTCCCTGCCCAGGAGTCTCCCAGGTTTTCCCTGCCCGGGAGTCTCCCAGGTTTTCCCTGTCCTGGAGTCTCCCAGGGTTTCCCTGCCGGGAGTCTGACAGGGTTTCCCTGTCCTGGAGTCTCCCAAGGTTTCCGTGCCCAGGAGTCTCCCAGATTTTCCCTGCCCGGGAGTCTCCCAGGTTTTCCCTGCCCGGGAGTCTCCCAGGTTTTCCCTGCCGGGAGTCTCCCAGGGTTTCCCTGTCCCGGAGTCTCCCAGACCCTCGGAGGGTTCTCTCCCCGCCCTGCTGGGAGCAGCTCCTTCCCGCACGTGTGGGATCCCAGCCCGTGGCACCGGGCTCTCGGAGCTCCTGGGCTTTGATCTGGGATCTGTACGAACCTGCCAGGGCTTGGGGCCAGCTCTGCACAGACGGTCCCGGCTTTCTGCTGGGGCTGCCGGGTGCTGGAGGGGCACGGGCAGCTTTGCAGGGACATTGCTCCCTTTGCTGCTGCTGATTGCAGCCTGGGCTGCACGGGAGGAGCTGGCAGGATGGAGCACGGGGTGCTGGCCCTTGACCTGTCCTGGGAGGTGCTGCAGAAAGCCAGAAGCGATACGAGAGTGGCCAGGGGTGGCTGTGGGGCTGGAGCTCGCTGCGGTGCCGGGGCGGCTCGGGAGCGCTGTGTCTGCAGCCCCGGGTCAGCACCACACACAGCCGGCGGTCAAGAGCTCCCCCAGCCCATGTGAAAGGATGGGGTGGCGTTTCCGCAGTGGAAACAGCTCGGAGGGGTTTGGGACTGCTGCAAACACAGGCTCGGTGTCGGTGCCTGCAGCCCGCGAGGGGACAGGGACGGGGACAGGGACAGGGACGGTGACAGGGACAGGGACAGGCGTCCCTGTGGCCCTGTCCAGCCAGGGTGGCTTTGCCTGCTCTGGAGGAGGGAGCTGAGGCAGGACGGGAGTGTTGTCAGTGACACTTGATGCCAGAGGACATCACTGCTGGGGACAGGGGGGACAGAGCGTCTCGGCTTCCCCGTTCTCATGCTGTGTGAGCTGATGGGAAATTCTCTGTTTGCACACCAAAAATCAAACCTAGGACCTCATGGCAGGGAAGGAGGGGATGCCCAGCTGAGGGAGCCGTGTCTGGGCATGGTCTGGGCTCTCCACATTGACCCTGCCAGGGAGGAGCCGTTTTATCCCCCTCGCTGGTGCTTGCCACGGCAGCGACAGCAGCGCCTGCCTGCTTTGTTTTGAGTGCTCGTGATGAATTGCTGCTGGCACCTGCATGGCTCCGTGCTAATGGAAACCTCCCCCAGCCCTTCAGAGCTGCTGGACCCCTCTGAGGGCTGGGACTCCTGCAGGGAAGGTTCCCTTCCCCAGTGAAAGGGGTGTCTGGCGTTAGGCAGGAGCTCTGTGCCCATTCCCACCCTCTGGCAGCCCCTTCCTTCACCTGCTCAGGCCCTGCTGTATCCTGATTTTAACATCTGCCGGTTTTTTCTCGTTGCCCAGCAGGCTGGGCAGCACCCAGCTCTGCACCAGTGCCTGCCTGGGGCATTGGTGCTGTTGGCAGAGTTGTTGCAGGTTGTGCTGATGGAGAGCCCAGCTCCCCAAGTGGGATTTGGGAGGCTCCTTTGCTCAAACATGCCTGTGCTCACACGTGGCTTCTGCTCCCTCATTAGTGTCTCTTCCCTGACCTTTTGCGCCACCAGAATTTAGGTCCTGCCCCAAACTTATCTGGGCTCTAAATCCAGCAAAGCCACGGAGATGTGTCAGGGATAAACTTGGCTCCAGCTCGCCCACAGGAATGGGGAGGCTGCAGGGCGGGTGGGAGGGAGCCGGGATCATTCCTGCCGGCAGGAATCCTGCCGGTGGAAGGAAGGGCTCGGGG